CTATACAAACGGCACCCCCATAGAGAAGTAAGTAAAACCACACTTTGAAGCTTTCAGTCAACAATAAAAAAAACATTTCTATCTCTATATGCTGTCATCATAACAGACAGCACAAAGGCGCCGACAAACGTTTGGAAACAGAATAACTGAAAATCGAATTTTATTCACCTTTATTTTTAAGTTGTCCACAACTACAGTAAAAATCATATCAGAGTAATGAAACGACAATTGTTTACCATCCTAATCACAGTGCATAACATACTTCATAAAGCCTTACATACAGTACGTTAACACATGCACRTTTCAGCATCGTTGTGCATAAACACAGCATTCGATTCGGCAGAGCGGCACGGACGACATCCAACACAGACGTTCTAACAGTGTTTCAGCTTTGTGCATGGCACGGTTCATCACGAGAAGGGTTTAATCACACGYACAGGACTCAGCTACACTCTGGACACAGCTCGTTTTAAGACACCTGCTATGCTGACGAGGCAGCGATGATTTACAAAATCTGGAAGATTTACGCACCCTTTTTGTTGTTTTCAGCAGGTCCTCACAAACATGCAGACACAACACATCCCCAGGCTTTTATTTCCTGGTTTAAAAGCATCTTATTATTATTATTTTTTTGGATAGACATAAAAAAATAAAGAAAAGATCTTCCTTGGCACTGCAATTTATACGTTAGCTTATGGAGAAAAACAAAAACAATGTCAGCTTATTTCGGCACAGTCATTTTCAGCTCACAGCAGACTACATCTACACTGTTAAGGATACCGATGAGTTTCTCTGTTGATTAATAAGACAGAAAGACTGAGTAAAGAGGTATTAAATACAGTAATGACCTTTGAACAGACTGGAATTTTTTATTTCCTCCCCCCMCTTCTAGCAGCTACAGAAAGGTCCAGCTGTTTTCTGTGCAACGAGGAAGTTAAGAGCGTTAACAGTTCCCAGCCTTCACATATTTCATTTGATCTTTAAAGCACATGGAAGGACACGTGTTAAAGCTTTTGTTTGAATCACTCGTGGTGCCWCGGCGTACAGTCAGAGCCATTCCATTTTTTAAAAATCTTTTACATGAACAGTCGTGAGGCATATGTGAAAAAAAAAGGTGCTGACTTAAGCCGTGTTAGCCGTCAGTTCCTGAGAAGTTTTTTGGACTTCTGAAATTATGTCCAGACTGAATGTACCTGTTAAGTTTTATATATAGACTACAAGCCACCTTGTGAACATTTCGAACCAGGAAGGCTTCTGTATTTACAGTAACAGTCTCGTTTAAAGATTGCACGTCTAGTTTTACATCAGAACCTCTTGATATGACGCTGAGAGCACAGTAAGAAAACTTTTTGATACAACAAACGATAAAGCGGCTGTCATTCGCCATCTCAGCTTCATGCACGCGCTGTTCACCGTCAGTCATGCCGCAGCAGGATAACTAGAGATGTTCCACTGCACTTCTTTCTCGACAGTAACTGGGTCCTTTATTAATTATTATTTTTTTGCAATATATTGCACATCAATTAAAACTGCACGGCTGCCGCAGCTGTTGCAGACGTTGGTTCCAGTCCGTGGTGGTGAGACGGCCTGTCGAAATGCTGTCCGTTAAGACAGAGCGCAGTCATCTTGTGTTTCCAGTGTGTGGCGTTTCAACGTCCCTGACCGTCACTGACAGGGAGGCATCTCGGCAGAAAACCAGAAGAGTTATGTGTGTGTGTGTGTACATGTACATACAGGAGTTTTGTTTTCTCGGCCATTTTTTTTATTATTATTCATCCTTCAGAGTCTTTTGCTTGGTGTGTTTTTGTCCCCCCCACCCCTCTTTTTTTTAAAATAAAAATATTCCTATCGTGTGTCAATCAAACACCACACAGAGGGATTCAGCCGCACCTTTCAGCTCCGCGTCAAGTGAAGTACTTGCAGTTTGTGGAGTCAATAACACAGTATGATGTGCACTTGAGGAAACCATAAGACCTATAGTTAGGAGGGAAACATACTTGGGTCAGTTTTATTATTAACAGTCAGAGTTGTAAAGTAACTAAGTACAAATATGTTGTTACTGTACTTAAGTAGAATTTTTGGGTATCTGTACTTTACTTGAGTAATTATTTTTCAGCCTACTTTTTACTTTTACTTCT